AGGACTGAAAGTGGTTTATTCTAATATTTTATAAGCTGTCCTCAAGATGCCATCGAATTACGCTTAGCCATGCTTCGCTTCTAAGATGAAGTGTAATTTTGGCATCATCAAAAAAGGAAAACTAAGAGCTCCAAGGCATTCCGGACCCTTCTTAAATCGTATTTATATCGCGAGTGTCGATAAGGAATATGTGTAATTGTCATTTAAATATGCAGTGTTAACACGAGGAGACCTTACACTAACAAAAATTTTCCTTTAACCCAACCTTCTTAAACATTTTCTTGCCTAGAATAGGCTTTAGTCTTGCCTTCATCTGATGTTATTTAGTCCAAATACAATCATCTGAAAAGTTTATATGAGAGATGATAAGATACACGCTGGAATGATATAATGATTGAAATAGTGTGTAATTAAATAGTAATTGCATCTCAATAATAATGTATATTTATGCATAATCCAACCTCATAATGATCTTTGAGAATATTCAAAAGTAAATACTAATTACAGGATTAATTAAAAATCCCTTAAAGAAGTGTTATTTTGAAAGCTTCTTTTTTATACGAAATATAGGAAACGTGAAGTGTCCTTTGAGAAAATAAGTCTATCGTTAAATTTCCAGCCTGTATTCTTTGTCAGGTAAGCGCTTCTTACCTACCTTTAAACCTATATTCACAAATATTTATGTATCCTAAGTAAAATTTAGCACTTCAATGGATTTGTCTCTAATTATCGAAACAATATCAATTATCGTTTAAAGAATGCAAATCAAGCAGAGAAATGCTCTGTAGGTATTTCAGTTTAATTGAAATTATTTTGCCTCAAACCAAATATGGAATTTACATGTACTAAATTAACCAACAACAAAATATAGTTTTAAAATAACTAAGCGACATCTAAAGGACTCCAAAACTTCCTACAATATTATTGTTTAAAATTTTGATTTTATATAAAATTGCTTCTCTTACTTATTCATCAATGTCAAAAGGGAAAGAAAGGGTGCAATTAAAAGAGCAAAATCGTGACCTTTTGGAACGGCGATGGAGATTCCGGCCAGCCCGTGACCTCTCAAGGCCTTGTCATGCTCTACGCCAGGATTTTGAACTATCATATTATTGTCATAAATTTTTTCAATATGATAGAGACCGGCAATCAAAGCCACACCAACTGAGCCAACCAAGTAACGTGTGACCAGTTGCAAAGCCGGCCGAGGCCTAGACAAGAGAGCCAAATTGATACGCACCATCAGCAACCATTGATGGACGTAGAAGGCGATGTTATTACGCCAGGCCTCGAAGGTCATCTGGCAAGAGGTTAAGGCGGTAGTCAGCCAGCGCAGGTAGCCAAGCGATGTCTGCAATGACTTGTCGTTCCCACTCTTAACATCGTCAGCGTTCTCAGGCTGCAAGGAAGAGGTGACCTGAGTTATGAACTCGCCCGTTTTAACAACTTTCATGGCGACAGCTGCTTCGGAAGTTGGAATCTCTTCGGAACAAATTAATTGTTTGGCGATCGGATGAGGCGTCGGGGAGGGTACAACAAGAAGTGAATTCAAACTCTGGTTCGCATCCTCTACACATTCCTTCAGTAACGTTTCAGTTTGCATAACAACGGGCGATCTAGGATTGTTGCTATTATTTGCATGTTGAATATCTGGAACAGATGAGGTAGGATCTTTCGAAAAATCTTCATCCTCCATATCGCCTGATCTCGTATAAAGAAAGAAAATAAATATTAAGTAAAATAAAAGGTAAATGGAATACTATGCAAAATAGAAATGAGGTTGATGCGAAATAGGCAGCGCTATTCATAAGAAGCAGAACCACCTGTCAAGTATGAAATTTTCATATGCGAATCTGAAAAAAAAAGATTTTCTAGCTAATTTTTATTTGCGTGTGGCGGATTAAACCAATGTGTTGACCGAATCGATTTGTATAAAAGGAAAAATATTAAGAGTTAAAAATAGAGTATCGTAAGTCACTTGTTAGAAGGTGGCGAGAGGACCAACGGTCGTTTAGTATTTCATTCTGTAGGAAAAAAGGTTTTCTGGCTAATTTTTGTTTGCGTGTGGCGGATGAAACCCATGTGTTAACCGAATCGATTGGTATAAAAGGAAAAATATTAGGAGTTAAAATAGAGTATCGTAAGTCACTTATTGGAAGGCGGCGAGAGGACCAACGGTCGTCTAGTATTTCATTCCGTAGGAAAAAAAGCATATTTACTCATCCAAATGATTCTCTTCCTCTTCATACTAAGCCTAGTTGGGATATTTGGTTTTTAAACCTCATAGCATTGATCCGAAAATTAATCTTCTCAAAATTCCACATTTATCTATTTCATGGAATTATATATTATATATACAGCATATATGATATGTTTGAATATTAAATAAATATTAATATCTATGATATATTTTATTGCTCGTAGCCTTGTAAAAGTATCAGAGCTGCTTACAATA